TCACCAATCGAACATGTGTGGGATGTGATTGGACGCCGTTTGCAGACTCTGCCCCTGCCTCGTTCAGAAGTCGAACTGTGGCAAATGGTTGAAAGGGAATGGAGAGCCATCCCTCAGGACAACATCCGCACTCTTATTGACTCTATGCCTAGACGTGTTTTTTCGTGCATCGCTGTCCGAGATGGTCCTACATCCTACTGAGCCGACGTTGATTTCGTTATGTATTCTGACTATCATTTTGAAATAAAGATAACTTATTGCTGCTTGCTGTCTCTGTCTTTTTTCCAAATTTCATCACTTTCTGACCACTCCTTCTTGGTGTTGCATTTTCAATGTCGAGCAGTGTAAATTACACAAATAATGATAATATATGCAATACGATAATGCAGTGAAACATAAGCTTTTCGAAATTACATTTTTTCTAATAAAGAGCTCTTGAACAAATTTTCGTTTTTGGGGATGTGAATTCTTTATTAAACGATTCTAAATTTGGCGATTTTAGGATCAGTTTCCACAGAAAATTTTTAAATTCGATCTGGGAATTTTCAATTTTTTTAAACATTATAAACATGATAGATTTTATTAAAATAATGACAGTATACTGAAATTATATTTAAGAAATAGCATTAAAATAAAACATTTTTAGTTTTCTCCATAATATTATAAAGTGACATTGCTTTCCATTTTAGTGACTTATTATACAATATTTTGAATCTGAAAAATAAACAAGGTAATAAATGCTATAAAGCATAATTTACAAAAGAAGCGAAACAATTCTTAAAAGCAAAATAGCTATCTAATTAATTAAAAATGTCTTCTTTTTAATATTTTCATGGTAAGAGTTTTCTCCCATATAAGTCGCAGAATATAAAATTAATTTTACACTTTTCCCCTTCTTTTTTTTAAAAAAACCTAAAGGCACAATTTGCCTAGAAGGGCTATTAATTTCATTTTGCATCATTCACTCTAAAATGGCATTTCACTTTTCTCAAATTTTTGCAGCCAAATGTTAGAGACCTGCATTATATTTAAAGAAATTAAATAATGAAGAATCTGCATGTATATATCTGCGATTGTGAAAAAACGATGGAACCTGAGACATCAAATTTTGAATAACATAGTCCTCCACTCTAATATGGGCATCTAGAAGCTCAAATCTGGAATTTGTTTTGCTATCTATTTCATATTTTTTAAAACTTTAACGAATTTTTTATTAACAAATTCAAAGCGAGCAATTGCAACACCGTATGGAATAAATAAGCATGCGAGATTGTGAATCGGAATATCTAAAGATATGCTCTTTTTAAGTATTTTTTGATATTGTTGTTGAATTGAATTTCATGGTTAAGTGAGAATAGCATATTTAATAAATAAAGATAACGCACAAAACGTTTAAAAAAAATGCCCTTTGGGTGCAATATAAAATCTGAAAGCTTTCATATTTATTATTATTATTTATTTATTTTTTCTCCCAAAACATTTCTGGTCTTTTGCTGCTTCAGAATTGGTAGGGTTAATTTTTCATCAGAATTTTAGACATTGCAACTTGGAAAGTTTAGAAGGATTTCAAGGCAAGATTTATAGACCCACGATTCTAGAAGTTTCCAAAAAAATGTGACAAAATGAAAAATGTCGTCATGGTATTAGAACAATGGAAACATAATATTTGAATATTTTACTTCTGATACCAGAAGTCATATTTTGAACATGTTTATCTTCCTTTTATTTTCTCTCGTTTTCACCAGGCACAAGCATTAAAAATATCAAAATAATTCTAATCTTATCACATGGACAGGCATTTGAACAGAGGAATTTTTGTAGTAATAAAGAAATTAAAAACTGTTTAAAAGATTCATCTTATATGTCTCAATGCATCATACATAGAGCTTCCCATTTTCCCACCTGATGCTAAGTTGCCTTACTAAATTCTGCTCCCAGTGCCTGGCTAAATTTTAAAAGTTTTGTCAATTCTAGATTTTGTTGTTCGGTATGTCACTAAATTCTAAAAATTCTGCTACACCGGCCCATACCATACATAATTTCATATTTTTTTCTGAATGTTCATATTACTAAAGAAATACAACTAGCAACTTTTTCTATACATCCTAAATGCATTTAGTTTTTTAGAATAACAGAAATCTTTATAATTAAATCCAAAAATTCTAAAATGAGGAGGAAATGCTTTGAAGAGAGAAAGTGATATATAAAGAGAAAGAAAATTATCCTTTAAAGATATGTACAGTTCATTATGCTAACTGTACATATCTTTGTTTTTCCAGTTGTTTATAAATTCAGCCTTTATTATAACTTCCCCTTTCCTTCTCCCCACCAGATTGCAAATCATTTAGATAGTTTTTAAAATGAAGTTTCTAGAGTGTAAGACAGTGTTTCAGGTCTCTTCTTGCAAGCTGCATTACTTCCTGCCAGCTGTGATAATTTGTAATTATTCCATCTTTGCGTTATTGCTGCTGACATTTGTATTTGCTACGACGATAGAGTTACTAAGCTAACTTAGATTGACTACTAGTCAACATTTTTAGTTTGAATTTGACTGTTCCTGTTTAATTACATCACCACGAGCTGTAGTGTATTTGCACATTCTAGCATAAGAATGTGCCTTTATGTTCCAAATTCTTTTTAAAAACTTATTTAAACCTTTATCTGACTGTGTAGTTACTAAGCATGCAGAAACTAGTGGGAATACTGGTTTACATGTTGAAACAAATTTCTAATTGTTAGAAAAGATGCTTATAGAGAAGAAAATTAATATAAATTAGCCAAAATGTATGAGAAGGCTTCAAATAAAAAAGTTGCATTAATATTTTATTGAGTGTTGTTGTTGCAAAATATAAATGTTTTGTAACTTTTAATGTGTAATTGTGATAATATCATTTAAGCATCTCATAAATTACATGCATTTTAAACTGTGAAATGATATTAGATTGTGATTTTAATAAGTGCTTTTTTTTAACAAATATTTTTAAAAAGTAAAATTTAATAGTGGCCGTGTAAATTTTTAATGACCAAGGATATCTAACTGCTTAATTTAATTATTTGTAACTAACTACTCATCCTTAAAAGTTATTGCTGCATGTTAAAGCTAGTTATTGCCTTTTATTAATCCTTACTTTTATTACCGTGGTCACAAGATACAGCAAAAAAATGTAAAAATTAATTTAAAACTTATTATTTGCAGCTAGTGAGACTTAAAATAATACAAAACTACTTATCACCTATGGTGCTTTAGTAGCTTATTGGAAGCTTAAAGTATATTAACTCTACACAAAGGCTATGATACTAACTGCGTCAGACAAATGGAGCATAACTAACTTTCAAAACCTGCCAACCGTGCCTATGTCAGACTTTCAGATCTGTTCTATCAGGAGGTCTCTCTCTAGGCATGCAGCAGCACTAACAACAGCTAGTCTTCTGTTACCAGTCATGCTGATTATGATTTTCTCTTTTTAACCTATGCTGTTTGACATAAAATCTACCTGCTATTTACTATACATCTAGACTGAGCAAATACATGACAAAATGAGACAGACATAAAAGAAAAAGTCAACATAAATAAAATGTCTCTAATCTTCTTTCAAATATGTCCAATTATTATCTCAGATTTGTTTTATAATTATTTTTATTAAATTATGTTTAATAATAATGCATCCTGTTTATGGATCTATTTTGTTCTTAGGATGGTATTACAAAAGTTAAGATCAGCCTTAGATAATACATTTAATTGAATTTATTCAGTTCCCTTTTACTAACAGATCCTTAATTTTTTTTTATTAATGGTCCTTAAAAGTACTTATTTTCCATGTGCAGAATTCTGTACGAAACCTGTAATCATAACTGGTTCAGATGCAAGAAATAAATCAAACGAGGAAGTCTTTCAGACTGCAAAAATTCTACTTAAGTGATTCCTTTCCATAAAATATATAACACTTTAACAGTTATGTGGCCTTGCATATAAGGTAAGTGAGAAAATGGTTTTCCATAGCCTCTTTGGAGACTTTCACCAGTATGACTGCAAAATATCCCTCCTACGAGAAGAATTAAAGCATTTTAGCTTAGCAATGGATTCCATACTGCAGTTTTTCGTAATCTTCAATAAAATCTCGGACTTAATCTTATGCACACACACAGAGCGTAATGTGGCTCTTTATTCCTTTTCATTTTAGGATTTTCATGTAAAGGTTGCGCTAGATTTCTAGTATTTGCAACTGTTTTTTTTTTTTTTTTTTAAAGTAAAAAGACTACTGGGCACAACAGCACAAAAATTAAGGGTGTGCTTCTTGTTTGGAAAAAGAAAAGAAGAAAGGAAAAAGCATCACTGAATACATCTTTGAAATACACGTAAATACCCAAATAAATGTTTCTCTTCAAAGTCACCAAAGAGTTTGAGACTTTCATGGAGGTGTAGATACCCAGAAAATACTAAAATCTATTTACATCAAATAAAATTCAGTTTTTATATGACATACGAAATTATTACTTTTCAACCTCATTTTCATTAGGTGAAATCTGTTTAAATCATATAGTGTCGGCAATGTTTTTATGCCACATCTTTCATAATACAGTATAGGTGTTTTTTTCCTTTTTTATAAAATCTTTAGTATGATATGGAAGAATTTTCTTACAGAAGGTAGAATAAAAATTGACATTTGTGATACTTTTAATAGCATATGCCATGTGATCATAATTATCATTACTTGAAAACATATTTTATTTGTTCGAGATCTTAAACTGAAACTGGAACCATGTTCAAAAACACATCTAATCTGCTGTTCAAGATATTTAGTTGCACATTGTTTTTTAATTTCTTGCATAGTTTAATAACATTATTACAAACAACACATAAAAAAAATATTGTGAGAGTTGAAGGCATTTCATAAACAACTTGAAAATAGTATTCAAGGGGTAGGAAATCATTATTTAATTTTATTACTCTAAAATTATACAGCAGTAGAGATTTTATTTAATTATGCATTTTCTTTCAGGGACCCTCTGCCCACACCTTCCCCACAGGAAAATGAAGCAAAATGAGCTTCATAATTCTAAAAATGTACATCTGTTTTTTTTTTGTACAGGTATTATGCATTTATTAATTTTCTTTGTTGATAAAAATATTAAGCTTATTATTCATGCAGTTATAGAATTTGTTTCATAATACTAATAGTTTGCTTTGTTAAAATGATAAGAGTGCTTTGTTAAAATGATAAGAGTAAATTCTATATATTTACACAAGTTTAAGCAGAAGTGTTTTTTTTTTAATAGCTAATAACAGTATTCTAATATTACACTACAGGTTCAGAAACAAAATTAACAATTTATAGAACAAAAAGAACTAGCTGATTGCCAGATAACATTTTTACATACAAATATCTTTAGAAGTTAAATATTTATGGAACAAAAATAACTAGCTGATGATATTTAACATTTTTTTTTAATTGTACTGACTTTTCAATTATATTGTGAGAAATCAGTTTTTTTTATTATACTAGCAAGCTCCTCCCCATTCTATGATGAATGGAATAGGTGAACATATGAAACTTTGTATGGTATACACTGCATAGGAATAAGAATGGGAGAAAAAGGAGAGAATAAATCCAACCCTAAGTCGTATATACAGTTTGAGACTTGTGATAAGTTTAAATGAAATTTAATATTTATATTAGGAGAAATCTACAGTTTACAATACTATAATAATAAATTTGGCCAATTTAGTCACATTAGGACACATAGTTGGCCACCAGTGATGTAAATAACTAGCATTTTTAAAATTTATTAAGTGTTCACTTACAAAATGTCAGCCTTTAGACAGAATTTACTTTTATTCCAGTTATGATTTATAGATTATATGTAATAATATTGAAATTTTTCAGATTTGTGCAGTAAATGTTTTTCATTTTAATATACAGTAGACTGCCGATTATCCACGCCTGTCGCACAAAATTTTAAAAATGTTCACAAAACTGAGAGAAACGTTAAATTTGCTAACATAGTGCTTATTTATAGCAAAAATATCCTAGGCCTTCTCGGAACCTTCCCCTTTGATGAGTAAGTGATTTCTTACTCACCCTTGCAGTGCCAGCTCCACTGCCCTCTCTCATCTTAATCTTACTGACACGTCCACTTCCTCCCACTCGCCATTGTTAGTTTAAGCCTAATAGTGTTTGTGAACCGGTCCGGAGTTAAATTTCTTATCTTTTGTGTATTCAGTGCTTGTGCTTTTTGGTTTTGTGTTTTTGTTACTCATTTAAAATGTCAGGAAAATGAAAGAAGGTTGTGTTGACGATTAGCGCCAAAAAAACTAGAATTAATTTCCAAAGTAGCAAACAGCGCTACAAGGTAGCAGATGGAATTGGATTACAGAATCGCGGAAACAACAGTGCGTGACATTCTAAAGCAAAAAGACAAACTGGTGAACTTTGCATCAATGTCGGATAGTGCTTCCGCAAAGAAAACGCGAAAAAGTGTGAAAGGCCTTTGATGAGCTAGACACGGCATTGACAGAGTGGTTAGCTGAAGTTAAAAACAGGGTACTCCTGTAAATGGTCCTATCATTGCGGCGAAGGCAAAAACCTTTTTGAGTTGTTAGGCCTGAAAGGAAATTTTGATGCATTTTGGCTAGTTGATCGTTTTAAGCAGCGACATGGAATTGGAGAATTGGACTTCAAGGGGAGAATATTAAGCGAATAGCTAAATATTAAGTGTTAGTAACATTCCTGTGTTTTTTCATCCTGAATAAACGATTTTCAAGTTTGAATGACTGTTTTCTAATTTGCTATACGCGTTTTTAGCTTTTTTCGGATTATCCACGTTTTTTGTTATCCGCAGCAGCCGCGCCACACAATTCTGCGGATAATCGGGAGTGTACTGTATTCGTTTAAAATACATGATCACATTTAGGAAACTGCATCTTATTCAGGCACCTAGTGTAAAAACTGCTTTTAATATTCAGTATCATATACTGATGTGAATATTTTTACGATGCAATTAGATTTAAAGAGCACAATTTTATCAACGAATAAAAAATTATAAATACATTTTTTTTATTCCTGTACTTACACAAAAATATTTCTTGATTGATAATGAAAAGTTAATAACATTAAGTTACTGATTTAATTATTTAAAAAGTCTTTTAAATAATTTACTATGGCTTATTTACTGTAATAAACTACCTTTGATAAAAGAAAACACCAAATAATTTGTCCCCCCCATAACATTCAATTAATTAATTAATAAGGTTACATTTGTGTTTATAGTAATTTTGATTTACTTAAGTATAAAAATATTTTTAAATTTTGGATGGAGATCTGGTTTATTACTATTCATGTGAAGATTAATTAAATTGGAACCTATTATGTAGTGTGCATTTCATAACAATGACAACAGTGTCTTGATTAATTTGAAGTAAAACTTTTCTCACTGCTAAAAAAGCTTAATATAAAGAGTTGGATTGTTTTTATGTCTTGCATATTTTAGTTTCTTTTAAATAGCTTATATTTTCCTTTCTTGATAAAGCAATATTTAGGAGATTTGAAAAAAAATAAGTCTTAAGAAAGGGGGAAAATACTGTTAAATCATTAAAGCATGCATTACTGTATGTTTTTAATTATTAAGACTAATTTTTCTTTCCTTTTTATACTTTGAATTTCCTCATATTCAGCTTCCAATACCATATACATTTTAAAAAGCAGGATCAGATTTTTCACTTTATTTCATATTTTGTATGAAATGAAAATAAAACTATTAATTAATACATATATATAATGTATTATTATAGTATTAATGTATATATATTATATTTCTTTGTAGAACTGAAAATTTTAAGCACATCTTCATATTTGGGTAATATAGTGCCAAAATAAAATGACATGCTTTAAAGAGAACTGAAGAAAATCAAAATTTTATTTAACAAAATGTTTATATTTTGGTCTCATGTTTGTTGTTAACATATAAAACTGTGTTTTAAAAAATGTCACATTTCGTCCATTTTTTGGAAAATAAAATCTTTTAATGGAACTGTTATTAATTTTCTACTTACATTATTTCATTGTTGGGCGAGTTGTTAATCAGTTATCGAAAAGTACTTAATGCTTATAAAGGCTATGAGCTATGCCTAATGAGCTAACAAATTAAGCTCATACCTATGTTACATGAAAGCAAGCAATGAAAACCTATGGAAAGAGCCCATTCAGCTTTTGAAAATCAAACACAGGGAGAAACTACAGAGTTCAAGTAACTTTAGCCACTCCGCCACTGGTAAGCATATATTATCTCTTCACTCAATATATAGAAATTTCATAGCATTATAACTAAATTTTATGTTCTAAACATACATGTAACAGCTTTATCTAAATATGACAAATTTTATTAATTTTCCTTTCCCCCACACTAAAGAATAAAAATTATTCTTTTCATGAAACATAAAATTCCTATCTTAACTACACTGAAAAGCTCTCCAATACTCTTTTTAATTAACAAACTGGTTTTTCTTAAGAGATTCTGACCTTCACATGTCATCACCAATCATATCTATATAAAATTCTTTCATTCTCTTCTCCAATAGTTTTAATGAAAAAATAATACTGTAAAGGTATGTTATTTACTCTCTACATTATTTGCACTTGTTTTAGCCACAGAAATTTTGAAGAATACACCTACAAATATCATGCACTGTATGTATGAGATGAAATTCTAAAAGCAATGGTACAAGATTTTTAAAACATTTTTATTATGAAAAGTGGTTTAAAATTTTCATAAAAAGGAGCACCTTTACAAAAATGGTTATTAAAATATTTACATGATGCTAAGAGACATTTATTTAAAATCTGCTTATGTCAGATCTAAGTAACACAACAGTTGGTTGATTTCAATGATCACAGATATAGATGACTCATTTTTGCCCAGTAGCTGCCCTCCAGAAAGAAAACACAGATGACACAAAGGATGCCTTAAAAAAGAAAATCATATTATATTTAAAATAAGTCATTATAATGTTGAAATGATTCATTAAAAATAATCACAACTTATACATTTTAGTTGCTAAAATATGATTATATATAAAAATAATTTTTAAAAAATCTGAAAGGTTTCAGATTTTAAATTACGTCCAAAGGGGCATTTTTTTAACATTTTGTGTGTTACTTTTATTTATTAAATATCAAGTTCTTTGCACTTAAACCATAAAATTCAGTTCCAGAGCAAAATCGCAAAATAATAAATTGAGCATATCTTTATAATTTCCAATACGCAGTCTCACACACTGGAGATAAAATGTTTTTTTCTGGACAACGTTGCCATTTCTCGCTTTGAAATTATTCAGTTTTTTTAATCAAAAATTCATTGAAGTGTTACAAAATATGAAATCGATAATAAAACAAATCTCAAATTCAAATTAGGGCTTGCACAGGCCCATATCTATGGAAATTACGTTAATGAAAATTTTGATGCTCTAGGTAGTTTTTTACACAAGCAAAAATACGAGGCGTATTCGGAAACTAAGTATCGTTTGGGGGAAAAAAAAAAAAAAAAATTTTTTTTTTCTAATCCATTTTATTTTTACATGAAAATGCACGTCTTAAACTATTTTTCAACATAGTTTCCACAATGATCAAAAATTCATAGCGGTGACCGGTTTCGTAACCACGACTCCACAGCATTTTTCGTGTCATCGTCAGATCCAAAGCGCTTTGCACCAAGCTCGCGCTTCATGTGCAGGAACAAGTGATAGTCGGATTGGCGCAAGTCCGCTGTACAGCGATGATCGAACTGCTCCCAATGAAACTGTCTAATTAACGATTGAGTGACACCAGCAGTAGGGGCCCGAGCATGTCATGGAGCAACACAATTCCTTACTGAGCATTCCTCTTCGTTTGTTTTGAATGGCACGCCTAGTTTTTTAAGTCTCACAATATCGTGCCGCATTAATGGTTTCACCTCTGGAAGAAATTCAGTAAAGCAAAACGCCTTTCCTATCCCAGAAGACAGTGCACATGATTTTTGTGATGACATTGTCACTTTGACTTTTGTTTTTTCGGAGAATGAATGTCTCCACTCCATCAATTGTTGTTTCGATTCTGGTGTAAATGATTCACCTAAGTTAATCACTTGTCACATGGTTAAAAAGTTTTCTCTCTCATCACTGCACCCGCGTGAGAAATGTCAGGGCACTACCAAGTCGCTTTGTTTTGTGAACATCAGTGAGCATTTTTTAAGCCCATCGGGAACACAGTTTCGAACAAAACAGTACGTGAAATTTGTGAAAATGCTCCTGAAAGAGTTGTCATTGTGAAGCGTCTGTTCTCATGAATTGCTTCATCAACTTTCCTTACCAAATCATCGGCGACAACAGAAGGCCGACCACTCCGAGCCTCGGCATGGACATTTGTTCGACCTGCATTAAACATTCTTACCCACTTTCTCACCATTCATCACTTATCGCATATTCACTGTAAATTCTGTCACTTGACGTAATTTTGGCCGGTTTAACATTCCTCACGTTCAAAATTAATCACGGCACGAATCTCACAGTCAGCGGATAACTAATGTCTTAAACATTTTGAATGTGCACAGCAAACTGAAAAACGCAACATAGAGTAACCAAAATGGCGACAATTGAAAGTCAGTGAACAAGAAAGACTAGTGCGCATGCGCGGGACGCCTACCACAGCGCTGCGACGGCGCTAGAATGAAATGGTACTTAGTTTCCGAATACGCTATGTATATACATTTATGCAAACTCTTCATTATTTAATTTCTTCAGATAAATTCTTCATTATTTAATTTCTTCAAATATAATACAGGACGATAATATTTGGTGGCAATGATCTGAAAAGTGATACAGCCTTTTAAAGGTTTCAACGCAAAATCACAAAATGAAAACAATAGTCCTTCAGGGCAGATTGCCCCTTTGGACTAATAAATAGATATTTCTGAAAATTTAAAGATAATCTTTTTGTGAACATTTTACTACTAGCTCAAATTTATTATGATCGAATACAGTCTTTGCAAAGCAATAGAGCACTCTAGGGTAGCGGGAAATGAACCTGATATTTTTAGATTTACAGCAGAATAAGACCTTTTATAATGGTTCCATTTCAAAATATTTTAATTTGTATATCACTATTACAGTATGCAAAACAGATGAGGATTCCTAGTCATAAGACAGCACACAAAATATGGATTTCCAATAGTTTTATGAATCAATATATTGTACATAAACAAACATCTACCTTATACAGACCATTAAAATTTTTTGAAGCAGAAAAGATGAAAAACCAACTATGCTCTCACTGAAATGCAAACCACTGATATTTATACTGTGACAACACACAGAGGGGATTGTTATAATTCCTTTAATTCTTCCCCATTTAATAAAGATGAGTTGCAAAAAGACAGGAGAGTCAGTCAACTCCACTTGGGGACTAATTAACCACCACATTTTATTTTGGGTCCAATGTTAAATTTTCTGGAAACATAATATGTGAAAAATCAACTATGCCTTCATCACGATTCAAATCACACAGCTGGACATGGGAACCACTTATGACATGATAAATACAGTCAAAAGTCGTTAATCCGGACTTGGGCGATTCCAGATTATCGATTTTTCCGGATTATAGATCATCAGTTTAAATCTGGTAAGATGGCATGCAGAAATTATAAAATTAAAAATATGAAACCGTAATTTATGAAATAAAGAACAATTATGATCTAAAGGGTATCAAAATTTACAAAAAAAAAAAAGCTTAATATTTATTTGTTTACTTTATTAAACATTCTTTCAATGTAAGTTGTTTAAGTTGCTTCGTTTTATGTGATAATACTTTCTCTTTAATTCTATAAACAGACATAATTTCTTGTTCAGTTACAAAGTTCCGCTGTTCAAGTCCTATAATTGCTGTGAGAATACCGACTAATTTGTCAATCGAAATTTTTTCGTTTTCAATAACCTCTGTGTCACTTTCTTTATTGGAAGCGAATTATAATGACGAGGAATTTGATTTAAATCATATCAAGACGGAGTACATCGAGATGAAATACTACATTTAGTAAGGAATTATAAGCCAAATAAAATAAAAACATCTGCCTGAAGATAAGGATAGTGCTGTGCTGACAGATCAACTTTCAATTCATTGCACGCGTGCCCCCCCCCCCGGGCCGCAGAGCAGCGTTGAAATGATGGACAGATTTCGGAATGGTTTAGATAAATAAAGGATATGCCTTTATCCATTTTTTGCAGCAGCAATTCCACTTTTGTTTAATGGACTTCGAAACATACTTTCGCTTTGTAGATCCTTTACATATTAGTAAACATATATCGGAAATTCTATTTGACATAATCGAAAAGTTCAAGCTTACTTTTATTAAAATGCTCTAACAGTCTGCAAAAAATAATAAGCCAGATCCAATTCGAAGATTAAAGAACAACGCAATCTGCAACATTAACTGAATTAGATAATTTTAGCTTATACTGTCCGTTATACATTAAACGCGCATGCTCACACGCATATTCGCAGCCGTAAAAGTCTTACGCAGCGTGACGCATGCGCAGAAAGTTTGTAGCTTTGAGGTCCGAATTAACGACTTCTGACTGTATACATGTAGGAATGGAAAATTCCTTTCATTCTCTCCAGCATAAAGGGCAACTGAGGAGAGGTATAACGCACAGTTAATGAATGAATCCAGGTGGTTACGAATTTTTGTCCACCACCTTTCTAGTTCAGGTATCACCTCAAAGACCATTACTTTTTTTCACAGCATAAAACATGAAAAATCAATTGGGTCCTCACCAGCATTTAATACCTTGGATCTTCTGATTGCTAAGTGGATGTGTTAATCACTTAAAGTAAGCATATGTCATGGAATGCAGTAATTCTTTATAATCTGAAAATTTAATTTCTTTTAAAACGTAAGTTTGCTACATATATTAAAAAGTGGAAGTTTAATATATAACTTAAGAATAACAACATTTTAGGAATGATATACTATGACTTTTAACCCTTGGTTTAAATAAATATTTAGCTGGTTCCCCCTTACCCTTTCCAGTTTTTCGATATTTTGCCTCCTAATTTGTTTCAGACCTCATGAATTGGGTTTCAAGATGTTTCTTAAATTGTAGCATATTGAAAGATTGGCAGTTTATAATAACCAGAAAATTAAAATTTGAGGAAAACTTACAATAAATCCTTTTTAAAGTAAAATTGAAGAGCTTGCAGCAAGAAGGGCCCAGCTCCACTTTGGTAGATTTTGTGTTCATGGGTCTTTTTTGTTAAAAAAAATCATTCTTTGCATTGGAGTAGCCATAAAAAATCATTTCCACTAGCACTTTTAATGAGGACAAATGTTTAAAATATAAGTTAAAAAATAATTTTTTTGAAATATTTTTTTTTAATTTTCCAAAAATTTTAAAATGTGGAGCTGGGCCCTTCAATTAGATTATGATTAAAAAAATTAGCTTGTTTATTATAAATGGCATCAGAATTCCCCCCTCTAAATTACAGTTATGGTTAATTTGTTTACAAAAAATATCAGTTAATCAATTGTTATCAATACTGTCAGTCAATGAAGTATATTAAGAATTACATCAATTAAGTACATTATCAAAAAATAAATTAGTAAGAAACACATATATTGCTTTTAAAATGTTCAATAAGTTAGCTACACAAAATTTTAATTTAAGAAAAAACCTGTGCCAAATGGTCATACTACCAATTTTATTGTGAAGGAAAAATGTGAAATTAGTGGGGCAGTTGCAAGTTAAATATCATGAACATTCTGAGTCCTTGGATTTACATTAACACATTTTGAAAAATTTAACACATGCATAATAATAAAATATACAACTAGTAGTTAATAAGCACAATGTACATTTTTTTTATTACAATTTTCTAACCAGTGAAATATCAGTGATGTAGTAACCTTTTCTCCCCATTTTAAAAGTTTGGGTTT